ATGTATGTATGTATGTACGTATATATATATACGTGTGTGTGTGTGTGTGTGTACTACGTTTTGTGTGTGTGTACATGTGTACACGTATATATATATATATATATAATCTAAGCACAATAACGCGTGCATCTATGCGTGTTTTGTACTTACTGCAAGTACTTAGAAACACACATAACAGTAAATCTACTTCGAATCTGCGCACGCCTAATTGTTAATGTACGACTACGCATGATAGTTCATGATATGCATTTGAAAGCATGGTCTAGGTAGATACATACGTGTGTATCTACACACACACTTATGTTTATCTCGGTTTCACCACAGTAAGCGTCTCGAACAGGCACGAATAAAATCCTTTACAGATTTGTAAGACAATATCAGCAACCGGCTAAATTCCTTCCAGCATCCTCGTTTGTTCTTGTCGCATTATTGAGATGATTGCCTTATTTGTTCGTCAGTCTGGATGTAGGTCATACTATGTGTAGTCTCATCTTGTGCATTTTTATAGCCCAGGAATAGGCTCCTATTGAAATCAACTCGCGTACTTACGATGTGTGTGTAAGATAAATATACACGCGCGTATGTGTGTACATGTGTGTGTGTGTGTTTCACAAGCGGGTAGAGGTGTGTAAATACCTATTTCTGATCGTGCCCATGAACGCATTCTATTCATATACCTGTAGCACTTAAAAAGAATACACTATATCGTACCATTTATCTATACCAAAAACTCCAATTGAATGGGTATACCTTCCCTTACAATACTAATAGGGCTCCGTTGCAGAAATGGCAGGACAAAAGTCTGCGGACGATATTTCTCTTCGTATTCGTATCGCCGCTAATGATTGGGTTTGGTTGGTGGGGCATACTACTCTTCTTCCTCTACCTCCCCACTTATCTGGATGGGAGTGAGGTTACGGTAAGTGCTCCGTCATACATACAGTGTGGTGTGTTGCATGTACCAGCCCATACATGCATCCCAATCATGTTGCTGTGTGTCGGCATGGCGTGTATATAGAAGTATACCCACAATGTGTATGAACATTCTCACACACTTATACGTAATGTAAAGTGCGTACCTCTTGTGTGTATAATAAACGAGTCCATCCGACGCTTGGTTGCACTGTGCCGCTGATCTGGTCAGAGAACTGACAATCAAACGTCCTAGAGCGTTTGCTCGGTTCCCCTGTGATGGGGGTGGTTGAGTGGGTATGCCAGTATATACTTTAGCATCGCAGAAATCGTATACACACTCCTCTGACTAGTTTTTAATACCGTCATGTGTCACCCCTATTGTGTTCTCCTCTTGTTCTTTCTGATTGTGCAATACATTCTTGCATTACTTTGAACCCCAATTTTCAGGGTGAGGTATGCCTGTGATTGGCTGATAAGCGAACGATGATGTATCTAAATGTGTACCGAGAGTCCAATATTCCTTCTTTGCGGACACTTTTACTTGGCCTGTTTATGTGATGGTATTATGCACGCCTTTTTTAATATCTTCATGTTCATATAGCGAAATCGTCTGTATTTAAACTGTAGGGTGCACGAGCCAGTGACCGACTCAAGAACTTCATCGTCTGGCGATACTTCTACCACCGTCTGGGTCTTAAGCTGGTTGTGGAGGAAAAACTGGATGAGAACGTATGTAAATGTACATGCACATGCGTTTTGATTTGTTTTTTATTGGTTTGATATACTTCAGTAATAAGATGGGTTTCTATATTTCTTCAGTAGTGAGATAGGTTAGTAGATAGAACGTGGCTATATCTACGTATATGGGTTTGACTCCATGCAAGCCATGGTTGGTTTTCATCCATCCATCTATCTTTGTTCAAGCCTGTCTGGAATGCACATTATTCGCCCGTCCGTGGTACTTTGTAGATACAGCGACGATTCGCGTATGTTAGGACGATTGCGCAGACATTCTTTGCAACGTTTTGCTCTTGCACCTTCGCTTTCTGAGTGCCTGTGTTCACCTCCACATCAATTGCAAGAGTCTACACAAGAGTTCTGTTTGGATTTTAAGTATGGCTGTTGTTTCTGTGTTAACATCATACTGTATCTTTCTGAGCGTGTTGTTACCTATCTCGATAACGCTGTCGGGCAAAAGCACCTGTGCTTGATTTATTAGCGCTTTGTGTGGGGGGTGCGTTGGCACGACGAGTTGTTTATTCTCACTCGTGGGATTGATCTGTGCGTGCTAACATCATTGTGGCATGTGTATGTTACTGCCACTGTCCCATGCATGTCGATGTAGTACAACTGTATATGACCCTTCAATAGCCAGAACACCTGTGACTCAGGCCAAATCGGAGAGCAGTTTCAGGCTTGTGGGGATTCTGCATTTGCGTGGTCGCTTGTATGAGTACAAGTGCGTGGGAGTGTACTATTACATCGTTGCCTGTGTTTCCAGGTAGCGTATCGAAATCTCTCAGTGTCAAATGATCACTTTCGACACCCCTTCGTAACATATGTATGTGCGCATTTGATCGAGATGCACATCTACGTACCACACAAGCAAAGAAACATACAGCCCTACAAGTACCAAGAAACAGTACACAGCTATTGCGAGCATCAACCTTAGAACCCTGTACCATCCATCGACCCTGAACCAATTGCTTATACCACGAACACATCCAGCAACAATACATTATGGGCATCAGTCCACACGGTATTCTGCCCTGGGGGGCTGCGGTCAATCTGCGGAGCAACTTTACCAATGTCGAGTATGTATTGTGCTTTGCAGCTCCGTATGATTGTTTTTTCTTCTTCTTCATTTATTTTGGCGATTGTACGAATGAGTACACGAGCAGTTGACTTTGTTGATGGCGTATGGTCATATAACTTGATTGTGTGCCTAAACTAAGTTTTTTTTTGTATTTGATATGGTATGTTTTGCATGTTTGACAAATATCTATTGCCCTCTTAAACTGAAATGTGGTTTATACGTAAGCTGTGCCGTATAAGTAGTTCAGCTGCATCTTCACACAAGGTATATTAATGCCATTGCATGTCTACAAGATTGCAAAAGCGTTTACACTTGGGTGTCAAGGGTGTGTATGAAAAATGGGATCAGCTCTGACCAACATTTAAAAAACAAATTGTATTAAACTTATGTATTGGCATTATATAAATATATAAAAGCACCTAATATTCTCTGCCGAATGGGTGAAAACCGGCTCTGGTCCACGACCTTGTACCTCGATTGATATGCGAAACACCCAGCTTTACCGAACTCAGCCCGCACAAGAAGCACCTTTGGGGGCAGGGTTTGATGTGAGTGTGTTAACGGTGCCTCTGTACACGACGCTCTTTCTCAGCCCACAATACTAGACTTGGGTATAACTAGCTTGTGAATCCGCTCACGCGAATCAGCTTCACCGTGTGTGCGCTCATACATTCATGACTCATCCGTACTGTTACACACTCTCGACATGACAACGAACTAGTGAGCACCTGGGCAAGATCCGCAGTAATATTCTGGCTGCTTCCATGTGCTTCTACGTGCCTCTTTATCGAGACCTTCTACTTGCAGGGGGGGCCATTGACGCTGCGCGCTACAACGTATGTCAGATGTCTTGTTTCAACTTATGTGTATGTGTACAAGTATATATAGATAGTGGTCAAACGTGTTCACTTACAACGTAAGTCAGATGTCTTGCTTCCACCCATGTGTGTGTACAAGTATATATAGATAGTGAGCAAACGTACTCAAATACAACGAGTGCATACCAATGCAGAATGTGTTCTTCTGCGCAACTGTCGGTGGCATGTTTTTAGAGTGAGTTTAATTTGGCTTATTTTATCAATTAGTATCATTACTGTGATGATAGCTCATATATCCTGTTATCTTTCTGTGTATGCCCGACCCCGACCCTTAATTGGACCACCACTATGCGTGTATTGAATACATGACAGTCACTGTTTATACAAAGGTCTACTTGTATCTCGTTTCAACCAGGCAGCACGTTTGAGTACCCCATAAACCTAGTAAATTGTATGTACCTCGTTTTCACTAGGCAATCCGAGCGCTGAAAGAAGGGCACTCTCTTATGCTTGTGCCAGGTGGCGCCACCGAAGCCCTGTACTCTGCACCCAGGACAAACACCCTGCACCTCAAAAGTAGGTCCGGGTTCATTAAACTGGCCCTGGAAACCGGTGCACACCTTGTCCCAGTGTACAGGTGTGTGATATTTCCTTTTCACTCTCTCTTTTCTCTCTCTCTCTCTCTCGCAGTCTACACATCTGTGCCTCATGGTGTGGGAATTCATAGCACCGACTATTGTCTATATAGGGTAGTGTCTATCAACCCCTCACCATATTAGTGCACCGCACCATAGGCTACGTTCTTCATTTATCACTTCTACATTGGTGAGTGGGTTGTGAGAGTTATCCCACGCTCGCACGTGCTTAACTGTGTTGTGTGTCTGGTTGATTACTCGAAATACACTTAATTCGAACTGCTCAATGTACTATACTCTGTGTGTGTACTGCAAAATCGGTGCCTTTTCTTTAAGTTTCCACTACAAGTGCGTCATAAGGATGAGAGGCTTGAGAGTTTGCTCTTAAGTATGCGCACCCGGTGAATCAACGTCCTGCACATGCATATAATATACGTACTGCACATGCATATATTATACGTACTGCACATGCATATAATATACGTACTGCACATGCATATAATATACGTAGTCCAGTCCATGGATGTATTTTGACAAGGATATAAACATGGTAGTATATCCGTCTAAACTTCGAAAATATGTCTTTCCTCATCGCTTCAGCTTCAACGAGGTTGATGCATACGGTGTGGTAAGCGAAGACCACGAGTACGTGATGAAGGCGAAGAAAAAGTTCCAGGCTGTATTTGGCATATCGCTCCCATTGATCACGAATATCATCCCGCGCAAGGTTGAAATTACCACCGTGGTCGGCAAACCCATCGAGGTGTGTGATTGTGTCTATGGTATTCTGTTTTTATGCATGTAGAAATGTACATATACTTATGTATGTAGATATGTACATATATTCATGTATGTAGATATGTACATATATTTATGTATGTAGATATGTACATATATTTATGTATGTAGATATGTACATATATTTATGAATGTAGATACGTACATATATTTATGTATGTAGATATGTACATATATTTATGTATGTAGATATGTACATATATTTATGTATGTAGATATGTACATATATTTATGTATACACATATATATCTGTGTATATCTGGCGGTTGCTATGAAAATCGAGCGGACCTCGGGCCTTTTAAAACTATCACTGTGACAAATAGAAATTGAAGGGTGCGCATGTTTGTGATAGTGCGAGTGTCTACATCCGTAAATTGTGTGATCCTAGCCAGCCCAATGTGTTGCTTTGATTGCTTCATGGCCGCCGTGTGAGCAGTGAATGATTATTTGTTGTGCAATGGTGCCGTTTGTACACCACTTCATTGTTTAGTATCTGTGCCTCAGCGTGACATGCGTTTCCTCTAGGTGAATTCTGTTTTTTTTTCCTTACTTATTGTATATATTTCAAGCTATAGTCAAGTGACATGCAATGCAATATGTCAGTCCGGGCCATACATGCTCATAATCGTACCAGTGCGCTGGTTGCGAAGAAGCGTATTTCGTTCATGGACAAAGAATTAACTTTACTTTATCGCTTACTTTTTGACAACGCAGGTTGAGCAGATACACAACCCTACCAAGGAGCAGGTGGAAGCCGTGCTCGACAAGTATATCGCTGAACTCACGCGCGTGTTCAATGACCATCACGAGAAATGCGGCACAGAGAACAACTTAGTCGTATATTAAAGCCATTGGCTGTGAATGCAGATGTAGGCAGTCATGTACGGTAGTTTGCATTAGCGGGTGGGGCTTGATTGTGATACAAGCACGCAGTTTAATATAGAAATATTGGATCGATTTAAACATATTTATTGAATACACATGTTTATTAGTTTAATGGGCCACTCGCGGGTCAGTGTGCTGATGTGGGCAGTGAACGTGTGTCAAACGATTACTGCAGATAATATGGTAGTGGTTTTGCTTTGTTCTGCTGGTGCACCAGATTGGCAGGATACCCCGGTCATGAAGGACCCTCGTATCTCAGACTATTGTGGTATTCACTGGTAGATCCTCCTCATACACACCTGGGATAAGGATATATTCTCATCTCAATAGTCACAAACCACATCATTGTCATATAGAGCGATTCCTGCTTTAATTTGTGCGCCACTACAAATCTAGTCCCAACCGCTGCATCAAGGTCTGTATAGTTCGTTAATCCACGCTTGAAACCCTCACCGCCCTTCTTCTGGAATGGGGGCAGAACCACCCGCTCTATTGCCCAGAGATAAAAGTCTTTAATTCTATATAGAGACACGTCCTGATGTTTTATCTACCTTTCATTATAGACCAGTATTACAGCGCACGCTACCGTTAGTCTATACTATACTACAAGGGTACAATGAGCCTCCACCAATTGAATGATGACATAGGCCAGTGATATATGTTCACATCTACATCACAGCTATTGGTATCCCGCCCGAATGTGGCCGTCGCAAGCTCCGTTTGCATACTTTGTTTGCTTCGGTGATGAACTTCACACAGAGCGTCAGACACCCAGCATCTGATGGGCCGTGTACAGGCATAATTCAATTCCTTGATTTGCTTTAATGTTACTTGCAGCATTGACTTTAAACTGATGAATTACCCTTGTATTGTCTCCGGTAGGAAGTCTAAGTTGAGTGAGAGCGCTGCCATCTTGGATATTGTCAGCTACACGTCAAAATGATCACAATGGCATGCACATGGGCTGTCTGTGTGTGGTAAACATTAGAATAGTGACAAACTAGAACAAAGTATGCCAATCGAGAGACTAAGTGGGTTCGTATGGCGTTGCATGCTTCCTCGAGGGAATCTCAGTGTGCCCTAAGGATAGTCTTATTTATTTCATGATGACGCCTAAGTAAATACAAGTGTGAGTATAGCGAACTTGTGTTTTGAACTTTAATATCGCTGTGATAAAACGACAACGACGACAACGACCGGCAAGTGATAGGATTCGATCTGTGCTTCGTATCCCGGCCCTCTATTGCCATGTGCCAACTTATCTTGTTATTGATTACATATTTCTCATGAAAGAGTTGAATCAATATATACACCTAGTCAACCATAAATTGTTCGCTACGCGCTAAACAATCGTGCCAGACGCACTCCTCATTGACGACCGTGTGTAGCATGAGGTTGTAAACTCCTCGCCACTCTTGCCGTGCACTTTCGCACCATCATTTATGCCTTTGCGCAAAGTTCTGACCACCTTTTCAAAATAAAAATAGCACTGCAGGAACCGACAATAGCACCCGACTGTCTGCACCCGACAATAGCACGTGTGTATCCTGACACCCTCGAAAACTCTGTGATTGTGGATAAGGATTTGTATGGGACTTTAACGAATAGGAAAACATACATGATTCTAGAAAATGTCATTTACAGAGATAGCACATCTGTCAAAGGTGGCGCAACATTGATATTGGGATATCGCCCTTGCTCGACATTACTACACTATCTAATATCAAAGTGTTACTATTGGAAAATTTCAATAATGAAAGACATCTCCATTCGAGATTATAATCTGAATCTCGCCCAGGTTGGTAGCAGCGGAATATGGAACGTCACATATGAGGATGAACAGACTTGAAAAGGTTGATTAAATGATGCAGCCTATCCACCGGGGTGACGAGTGCTTCTATCAATCGGGCTTCAGCGCGTGTTTGCCATTGCATCGCTTAGCATATCCTTAGAGAAAAGGTTATGTATTGGAGATATACACTAGGCAACGTGCAGCCAACTCAGTCCAGTTTGGAAACCTGATTCAAAAGGCCACCAGGTATGCGTGTTTTGGCGACCTGGGATGGCTGGAATCTTTATATAAATGAAGATCTTATGTCTGTGAAGGATACTCAATTTTTTTCTAGAATGAACTTGTGTTGGGTTTTGATTTTATTGTAGACGTGCCAAATCGATGAGGTCCAGTAGTGGTTTGTGTGTAAAACTTGTTTAAAACTCCAGTGCCCGGTCAATTATGTAGACTAGTGCAAGCTATTACGTTCATATTGCAGCGCAGATCGCTCGCTTCGGAACGAAATCTTTTACAGCAGCAAGGCAACTAATACGAATCCTCACGAACAATTTCGTGATTTGTCTACGTAAGAGTATACAAGCTTTTGTTTTTTACCCAATAGAGTTGAAGCCCACATCCTAGCTTAACCGTTTGACAGTCTTAAGTTACGCACTAGCACAACCTGGATTGACTTACATATTAATCACGCTGTCCTCGCCTGTATGGGCGACATGCACTATTAAAATTAGCTCTAATCTCGACACAATGTTTCTAATATTAATTATATTTTGCTCGAATGGTCCAATCCTTTCGCAATTCTGCGAATCTTGTTGATTCTCATTCTCTTGGTTTGATATCACCAATGCATGGCAATCAATTGTTGCAATAGCTCACTCGAATAGCAGAAAATTCTACTTCCGCACGATATGGAAGAATCTGCAGACCCTTTATTCACGACTATATTTGACATAGTGGGGCCGTTGTTTTTTACGATCGCCTTATAAAAATACTGAATATATATCCCCATAAATACGCTGCGCACAACTAAGGCCGAAGTATGTTTAAATACACGTTGTTTTCTTAGTACACCCCTCTGGGCTGAACTATAAAAGGACGATATTGCCACCACCCATTTTTCTTTATACTAAGTTTTAGTATAAGTATTGTCTCTCCTATGAATTTATATTCTCCACTCCCTTGTATTGGAGCACAATCAGCAGGACCCTGGCCCAGCAAAGTCCTGCGCAGCAAAACCGACCAGACCAAGCCCAGCAGAACATTCAACCTTCGAGTCAATGTTGGGGCTATCCGTGCGCGACTTACTCTTTGGCCTTAGATCAGAGATATCAGGATTATCTACCTCGGACCATATCAACAATATCTTAATGTTTCCGACTATATCGACATCAGAGTGGAATACAGGTGAAATTCTAGACACGTTCACAGCGGTGTGGTGTCAGGACAATGTGAACAAGGATCCAGTAATTCAAGATCTCGATAATATTCTCAATTAAGCTATAATCGGGCAAATTTCTTAGCCCAAGGACTCAAACGAATCAATCTGGGGGGTCTGTCCATCGAACATCACGAGGAAGCATACAACGGTCTGTTACTGGCAGTAATTCTAGGACAGGTCGTAGAGCTGAAACAAGAGGGACCGAAGTTTGCAAGTTGAAGCTCAGGTCCACCCTTATCATTGCAACTCTTCTAATATTGCTAAATACATGCGCGCTACCAAAAAGTGCCAATCCGAGCTGGCACTCGTAAAGGATACCAAGAACGACGAGTAAGTCGCCCGCGCCCACTCCGCTTTATCGTAAGGTCAGAATTGTATCATGCCAGCGACTCAGTAATTGCGAGTCGGGGTTCATCTCGATCACACATTATCGTAAATGCTGTTCCGTATAAGTATTCTCGGAAGTGTGTTAGAGCTGCCACTATGGCTAATAGCTCTTGTTTAACAGTTGGATAATTCAACTGTGAAGCATTCATTGCTCGACTAAATAATTGTATATTTCTAGGTTTGTTATCTAAACCTGATATAATACTCCTCCTAAGGCTAAGTCTGATGCGTCCGTTGCTATTTCAAACGGCACGCCAACGACTGGTTCTTGTACAGCTGGGGCTTGTTGGACTGCATGTTTGAGCGCTTTAAACGCGTCATCACACTCTTTAGTCCACAAGTCTCCTAGTTTGCCTTTATGACATCTTAAGTGTCCAAAGATTTAAGGTAATCAGCCAAGTGTGGTACCCCATCTGAAAAGAAGTTTACAAACCCACACATGCTGTTAACATCTCTTCCTGTAGTTGGTGTTCGCCAATCTAACAGGTGTTCTACCTTACCGGTGTCGAACTTAATACCTTTCCCAGATATATAGTAGCCTAAGAGCTGTATTTCGCTCATTGCGAAGTGGCATTTCTTCTCGTTAATCTTGAAGTTTTGCCCATTGAGTCTCTTAAGGACTCGTCTGACTGATGCGGCGTGTTCGCCTGTAATCTTAGAAAAGATGACTATGTCATCTATATAGACTTGCACGTTAGGCATGTCTGCAAACATTTCTTCCATTACTTGTTGGAAGAATGCTGGTAAAGAGTGTAACCGATTTTTCCATGTAAAGCTAATGTATTCATTTGATGGTATCCTTGTGTAAGGTCTATAGTTGTAAACACTGTAGCACCTTCCATCCTTCGCAGTAGCTCGTTAATACGAGGTAAGTGAAAGCTATGAGTCGGCAATATGTTTTTTATTGGACTCATATCTAAACATACTCTGACTTTCTTAAACGATCCGTCAGAGTTATGTTGGTATACGGCTAGCAGCGCCAAGTTAATTGGCGTCTGTTGATAGTTAATTTCTATCACTCCATCTGCTAGCCATTTCTCAACTTGTTCTTTTACCACAGCCTCGTGTCTCCAGGATACATAGTTCCTTGAGGGACACTTTAACTGTGTAAAGTCTACCTTGGTTAAGTCAAGGCTGACATATCCGTCGTTAAAGCGGAATTTTTGCCCAATCTGTGATCTTTATTTTCTTATTAACAAGAATCAGATCCATGACTTTGTCCTCAAAGTCAGGTATTAATGCCTTGACTGTGGCTGACGGGGGCTTATATGGATTCAGACAGTTATCATCTGATTGATCCTTTAATGGATCTATGTTATTTGGCAGACCCGTTACGGTTATACCTAGAGTGAGTAAATCGCTCATTCCGACTATAATGTCGTACTTCTGTGACATCTTAACTATCACAGCTTGGGTAATGATATTCCTATCATTGGCCAGGGAGATTTAATATCTGTGGCCATGG